AAGCACAGGCACAGCTTTACCTTTTGTCTTTTAAAACATGGATGTGAGAGTGATAGGTCGTCAGGCTTCTGTGGTATGAGAGTCCCGTTACAGCTGACGATAGGTGGTAAATCGTGAAGATACAAGCCGGGCAGAAACAAAGGCTATTTGAAATATATGAAACGTATAATCAATATATGAATGCCGATCACAGAGGCCGTGCGGTCTAAGGTATGAAACGTTTTCCCCCGCTCAGACACTGGGGTCGTAGGTTCGAATCACACTCGAGGCATGGTTGTCTGTCCGCGATTCTCTACAATATTCATATTTTCCGATTAATTCTGCTGCGAAACAGGTCAGAGAGTCTAACACGAAACATACAATAATAATAATAATAATATTAAAATATACAGCAGATGTACCTTTGTTGTTTTCGGGTCGTGGAATTTGTCACCTCTGCTTCCTACTTGCCTTGAAGATGAGGCGACATGTTCCTCCGAAATGTCGGCTGACGTTCAACGGACTACACGGCGCTATATCCCAGAAGACAGAAATCTTCTTAACCACCGGTGCAAGAACATCAAATCCTACAAATCAGTATTAGGGTCCCGACGTTAACTGTTATTACACTAAGCACGAAGAAACGGATTTTCAATTAATCTGATCCTTCCAGCCGCACTATGGCCCTGGGTTCGACTGAGTCCCTAACTTAAATGAGTACCAGGAATCTTCCTGCGGGGTAAAGGGCGGCTGGCAACCTCACCGCAATTTGTGAGCCGATTGGCTAGAAAATGTTGGAGCTTCGACGTCCTGTTACAGGGATAGCTTTACCTCTTTATTCATTGATCTAGGCGGAAATAGGCCAGTGCATGGGATAAAGGCCTCTCCTTAATCATGCGGCAACTTCTTCAACACATCGGTAATGTGGTTCAACTTGCATGACAGGCGCCTCCGTTTTGCGAAAAGTTTCTGAGAATGTGTTCCGAACTGTGGACATAACATAGTTTATCATAATACTCAAGGATTAAGCCGTCCCTCGGAGAGTGTGGTGATCATTCCATTTTAAATGTGGGAGCCCTCGAGTACCTCCACCGTAGCCCTGCGATACGTAGGAGGCGACCAGAAGTGAACCCAGTGCCTGAGGGTATAACCGGGTCACCCTGTTCCTGGGGGATATAAATACGGGGACCTGGCCCTCCAGGTTGGGGGTGTCTCGCATCTGAGACAGTAAAATGTGGTCATGAGACTCCCGGAACTCGGAGTTGAGAATGACTGCGCTGGCGAGACCAGCAGCAATTGTAAACGACAGACCCAACCTCTCGCCAGAGAGGATGTTACATACGGACTATGACCACAAGCGTTCAATTGGAAAATAAAATTACTGGTCTTCAGCCTCAAGGGCTTCTTGTCAAGACGAACTGATTGGCGGTAACTCTGACTCTGACTGTTGGCGCCCTATGTTTTGTTTTCTTTCCGGGATGTATGTTAAAATTTTATTGGGAATTCGTCTTTCAATCAGTGGAACGTAGAAAAAAAGTAAAGTAAAGTTATCCTGTGACAGGACGCGAAGGCCCATAGGGTTGTGAGACGTCGAGGCTCCCACATTTTCTAGACAATCGGCTCACAGATGACGGTGAGGTTGTCTGCCTTACGCGCCAGCCGCCCTTTAGCCCCATGGCCATAGTGCGGCTGGAAGAATTAGGTCAATTGAAAAATCTGTCTCGTCGGGACCCGAACCCGCGACCTTCCAGCTTGTAGCATAATGCCTCAACCAACTGCGCTACCGCGTGCCCCATTAGTGGAACATGCGATGTGGATTTTAACATTTTATTGCTTAGATTATAAACATTTATTCTTTGATTCTGATAATTCTTTTTGGGCTCTTCCTCGTGTAGCCCTCTACACTCTTAACTAATTTCATTTCTGAAGTTCATATTTCTGTTTCCTGTTTTTCTTGGTGCAGTCCAAACTTCGGATCCATAACTTTAAAATTTCATCTGGATATCTCTGCTTATTCAATGTTCTCACGGTGCTGCACATTTGATTAAATATATTCATTTTTATTTCTAGATCTTTGTTGTTTGTTACTGTAATTTTGTATCGTAGGTAGTTAAAACGCGGATCACAGTTGCCGGACGCGCGATCTAAGGCATGAACTGTCTTCTGTCGCTCGAAGGCTGGGATCGTAGTTTCGAATCCCAGTCTGTGTAAGTTTATTCTGTGTTTGTGTTGTTCTGCGTGTAGGTAGCGGCCTTGGGGAGGGCTGATCCCCCACCCATGGAGTCCTACCGACTATGTACATGATTAGGGAACAGAAGAAAGAGGCCAAGGTTCACAAGGGCTGCAGAGCCATAGACAGATAGGTAAGTAGTTAGAACTACATTATGTTGTTATTTGTCACTATTTCAGTTTTCATATTCATCTTTCCTTTCATTCCCATTGCCTTTAATTCATTTAGTGACATCTTGAAATTATATTTTATAATATTATAGCGGTATAACGACTGGCTACGGGGCTGGGCGGCCGAGGGGTCGGAGTTCGAGTCCCGATAGAGGCAGGATAGTTCTCTTCTTCATGTCGTCCACCTCAACCTCCTAGTCAATGGGTACCGGGGGCTCTTTCCCCGAGGAGGGGGTAAAGTGGCAGGATCGTGAAGCTTACCACTCATCTCCAACTAGTGCCGCAGTGGATCTATACAGCCACTTACAACCCACGCCTTTACGGTGTAGTGCTTAGTCATCCAAGCACAGGGACAACTTAACGTTTTTACCGCTACTTGAATTTATGAATTATTTTATCAATTTATATTTCACTCACAGTGCAACACAAGTTTGTTACAGTCACTTTAATCTTTATTCGCGACATGTCTCGGCCGTAAACTGCCGTCACCAGGTGCCCTCGTAATGCTAGCTGTTCGTTGCACTGCTTCACTCAAGTTTAAATTTAAAAATCGAAATATGTCGCCCTACTGAATTTAGTGAAAACGGTTTCGATCTCCTTATTGGATGTATCTGCGTAGGCGTGGGTGTGTTTCATGTAGTTCAGTGATGTCGGTGTGTATGTTGATATGTAAGCCCATTAGTTAGTTATTGGAGAGGTTGGGTTTCCCCATGCACTGAGACCTGTATTGGTCCATTGTGCTTCCCTCTATGATATTCTACCAGTCTACATATCCTACCGGTACTGGTGCTTACCATCAGTCCCGCCCAGCCAGCGAGACCGGCTCTGCTAGCTAAGAGGTATCTATAATGCTTCTCCCATCTACCAGAGATATTAGAGACTGCTGTTGGGCGGGAAACGTCCGTTAATTTGGCTCAGTGACCTCCTTTGGAGATATGAGGTTCTTTTACGTGCCGTAAAGCTACGACACGGGACCCACGGCTTAAAGTCCCTCCCGGAGGACTTGTTCCCCGAATTTTTCCGCCCTTAAAAATTCGACGACCTCCGCGGGGGGTATTTGAACCCGCGTACTACGAGTCATGAGGTGGGAACGTTACCTCTACACTACGGAGGCCGCTTGTAAGCCCATTACTCCGCTTGTTTTGTTCGTTGTTGTTTTCTGTTGTGTCCGTCCAGCCAGTATGTCGTCCGCGAATAAGACCGAATACAGATTCAAGTCCTTTACTAAAATACACTAGAAATGCAAAATTGAACAGCACTATCTTCGTATTATACATAGTGATTCTAAATAACTGTCGGGGTTTCCGGAGACCTATAATTTTCAAACCTTAGTGCCACGACTTTTGAGTTAAAGTTTCATATTCCATAAGCAGTACATTCTAATATTTCCGGTTTGAAAATCATGGGCCAAGGGAACTCCGACAATAATTCAGAAACACCTTGGATTTTGGTACATGCTTTGAACTGTTCTTATTAAATGTGTCGGAAATACTTTTACTTCATTCGGGAAGTGTGAAGGTAACAAGGTTAGTTTCCGACTCAGCGACGCGCAGTGTGAACACAGAGACAATGAAGAGAAGAACAACGCCATAATTCAAGACTGAATAAATCACGGAGACAGCAGCTCCTTTTTTAAAACAGCGTGTCTGTATCCCCCTAATGGGCCACCATTGAGTGCATCTCTGTGTACTTATGTGCTGAATTTTTGTTCAAATATAGATCCATTTCTTCTTCATATTTGACTATAAGATTATGTGATCATTGCTTAGTAATACACCGCTGGTTTGTTTACTCTTTGGTTCTAAGCCGTACTTACTTACTAATGGAGCTGAGCCCCTCTTGGGGAGGAGCCAATTCTGCAGGTACTCAAGAACCTGAAGGTTCTTTACCGTGTTCTCAAGAGCCCTCCATTTGTCTCTATCCCGAGCCAGATCAGTCTAATCCATACCATCAAATCCTATACCTGTAGGATCCATTTTAATATTGCCCACCCACCTACGCCTCGGTCTTCCCAGTGGTCTCTTTCCTTCTGACTTTCTCACCAATATCCTCTATGCATTCCTCGTCGCTCCCATCGTGCTACATGCCCTATCCACCTCATCCTTCTTGACTTGAGCATTCTAATTATACTTGGAGAAGAGTACAAGTTGTGAAGCTCCTCATTATGCAGTTTTCTCCAACCTGTCGCTTCATCTCTCTTCGGTCCAAATATTCTCCTCAACACCCTGTTCTCAAACACCCTCAGTCTATGTTCCTCCCTTAATGTCAGAGATAAAGTTTCACATCCATACAGAACCACAGGCAACATTATAGTTTGTATATACTAATTTTTATGTTTTTGGACAGCAGACGAGAAGACAAAAGGTTCTGCACTGAATGGTAGCAAGCATTACCCGAGTCAGCATACTCGCTTAGGTTTTAAGCCGTATTGTTATAAAATTAAATTGAAGTTAGATTAAAAATTAATTAAGATCAAACCTAAAGGAATTATAATACTACACCCTAGTGTGTACGGGGTAGTATTAAATTGTCAAGTTCCGTATTTATGAATAGATAGTTCAAGATGGTTGTCTATGCTTATTTGACCACTCTAACGTGAAGTAACACTGACTTTGACTTACAGGTGAGTTCCGAGACAGGCAGTCTGCAGACGAGGCGGGAGCTAGTACTAGCCGGCGATAACCTGCGGAGGCTAGATGGCGCTGGGTGTTGCTCCCGCCGCCCCTGACAGAGGCGTGAGCACATTGTTGGGATCCGTCACCATGAAAACGATTGTTGAAGAGACAGCAGGCTGACAAGACTTAGTGCGTGCTGTAATGAATAGCGGAGTGTGTGAATTAGCGACAGCGCTGTAGTTACGAACTGTAAGTGTTAAATAAATGCAATTACCACTCTGAAACCCGTAAGCCAAAATTCTTACTCCGCCATACACTGCGCTCTTTTTCAACATATGGCCGAAGGCGAAGTTCGCCAGTTCTGGCCGTACCCCGCGAAGGCCCTCACACTACATCGCTTTAAACCCTAAACCTCTATTTGGCGATCTGAATCTGGTATGTGGCAGTCCTACTTCATGAAGTTTAAAATGCAGAGAGTTGGCATAAAGTCATTGGTAGTTTTGGTGGTGTACACAGAGAAGAACCACGAGCGACTAACAGAAATGAGTACCAAAAATCTTCCTGAAGCGTTAAGGGCGGCCGGCCGGTGCGTAAGGCTGTCTAGAAAATGTGGGAGCCTCGATGTCTCACTACTCTATGGGCCACCACGGGTCTGATACAGGGACAGCTTTATCTTTTACTTAGAGACGAGCAGGCAAAAGAATCACACGAAATATACAATAAGTGGCCGCAAGCACTGGATCGTATAAACCCAGAAACTTGTGACGCTGTATACTTCGCCTTGAAGCATGTGAATGTAATATCAGAAGATTATGACATATGGGCCGTCTCTCTAACAATAGAAGAACTGCCTTTTTTCTATGCGACGGCCGGTAAACACCCCCCTTAAGCATGTGACAACAATATAGGGGAAATTTTGTGTTTTCTACGCAGTCTGCGCCAAGCAAACACATGGAACAATAGGATGTCTATTGCTAGGTAACGAAGCTGTAAATGCGCATCCTTGACAAAAGAAGATGTTTTCCGTGGGGCCCGTGCAGAGGAGTTATCCTGAAGACAATCAGTGCTACGAGTCAGTTCTCGGTAGGAGATAGCCACGGGACGTTCGTAGTTGAAGAATAATTAGAAGTCGGTCTGTGAAGACTTAACGTGTAAACTGAAGACTTTATGTGTGCCAGGAGACGACCAGTGAAGACTGAGAAGCCTACTGCGTGTGTAACGGTGAACTGAAAAGTGTGTAGATCAGCGATAGCGCTGTATTACCTGTAGTCCCGAGCTGTGTGAATAAGGTATCAATAAATCCAATCATCCAATCCAGAACCCGTTTTATAACTCACCCACAACCCCCCTACACGTGACATCATCATACACGAAAGTAGTCATCTCCAATACGGATTCTTAATACGGGGCACTCCATGTTGAGAGACAGCAATATAGTCCACATTAAGAACACGGTTATTTTGGTATCTGCCACAACAGGCAGCCACGCCGCTTTTTGAGCTATGATGAACCACAAACATCGACTAACTAGCAACTACAAACTAAATAACGATTAAGTCAAAATCGGAAACTTCAACAACGGGGAAGTTTCTAGAGAAGAATTCTACACACAAAAGTCAACGCTCGTAGCGTGATGTTGCTGTGCATTTGCTAGATCAGCTACCCACCGCCAGATGGCAGAAGCTTACAGCAAAGATACGATGGTATTCCGGACCAGATGGTCATTACCTCGGCCATTTTTGTATATACATGAATTAAAAAAAAAAAGAGGGAATCCCATATTATTGATTATATCCATATCAGCAAATTTCTCTCTATAATTCGCATCACATCTATGGACATTATAACTTCACCGACAAGCGGCGGTCGCTCGGTCGGTATAGTTCGTTTGCGGACTAAAATCACTAAGTTTGTTCTATGGACATTAAACTTCTCACACAATTTTTTGCAACAAATATTCACTTAAGGAATAGTCTGACATGAGGCTGCTAATGCATCAAGTTGGTCAATTTAAATTAACCTGTGAAATTCCTGTTGAAAATCGATGTGAAAGTTATAAATTCCCATGTATAGCTATGGTTTGTAAAGATAACACTTTCACTAGTCCACCTTTACACTTATAATTTGATCATGATGTGAGGCAGTCCTTACTATGAACTGCAGCTCTCTCTTCTCTATTCGGCTGGTTCCTACTTTACTGAACATTTAACATATGGCATTTAAATTTCCATATTGGAAATCTTAATACCACACAGAGCTTGAATTGCTTATCTGGGAAACTAAGAATGTAAAAGCAAAATAATGGTGGATTTAGGATTTCATTATGCGGCTCCATAAGCTGGCATGAAACCTCATCAGTGGATATTCACTGGCTACTAGGGCTACGGTTGAGCCACAGTAGCAACCCGGTACTTTTCTGTGTTGGCATTTATATCAAAACCGGTTATACCAAACATAAATACTGTCACAGGAACTAAGTGCAGGGAGAGGACGGCTCACATGCCGGCATGTGCCTCTCAACCTCTCCACACCTCCCTCTCTTCTTATAACTTCCAGAAACTCAGTGTCTCATCTCTCAGATCTGCACTCACTCTTCTAGTAGTATCTTCTCTGCGAGGCAAGAAGAGGCAACTCAGTTGACCTGAGGCTCCCAGTGAGCTAGAAATGGTGTGAAGCTTTTGTGCATGGTGAATCAGTGTGACAAGGGTCAAGTCTGTGAGTCACAGATGAAAGTGCAATAATGTACAGAGAAATTGAGGCCATATAGCCCAGCCAACACCAAGATCTAAAGTGGCTACACACATATAACAAATGGCTGCTCTGACACATGACAGAACATTACAATACATTATACCCTTTATACATTATTTAATTTACTAAATAAAGGAAGCAAATATAATATTGGTATCTCACCAAAATTTGTTATAAAGCAATTAGTCTATGAGACAGAAACCGCGATAAGACAAGTAAAAGACATTAATCAACAAGAAGCCATTAGATATTTAGCGACAAAAAACATACAGCAAATAGCATCAAAACAAAACATAATAAATAAAGAATACAAAGAACAAACTTACATGACCAAACAAATACAGCAAAAGCTTACACAACATAAAGCAACTATAGCAGAAGCCGATAAAGGAAAAACATTAGTTCTTATTTATAAGGAAGACTTAGATGACAAAGTGAAATCCTTTATCGAAAATAATAACATCTCTGAATTAAGAACAGACCATACACAAAAATTTCAAAGAACAGTATAAAACACCTTGAAGCAATGTAAAATTATAATAGACCCAATAAAAAGAAAACATGTTCACAAAATGAACACACAAGCACCCAAACTGAAAGCAAAAATTAAAATACACAAACCGGAGGCCCCAGTTAGACCGATAATAAACCCACACATAAATTAACTAAATACATGCATCAAAGGATAAACGACTATCTAAAATTAAAAAACGAGTACAACATCATTAACACAATACAATTTGCAGAAAACATAAGAAAACTAAAACTAAATGCAAATCACTGGATATTAAGGACCTATACGTTAATATCCCGATCAGCAATACACTTCTTGTAACCCATAAACTACTTAAGGATAGTCACATGGACAAAAGCATTCTAAAAGAAATAATGTTCATACTTAAAATTATATTGAACCAAAATTATTTTGAATATAATGGAAAATATAACAAACCAAGAACAGGCGTAGCTATGGGCTCCTCCATATCAAGTACAATAGCAGAAATCTTCCTACAAAACACAGAACAAGGCAGAATAAAACATATGCTGGAAGATGAGAAAATCAAATACTACAACAGATACGTAGACAACATCCTCATAATATATAATCAAACAAAAATAACCCCCCAATGCATCCTTGAACATTTCAATAGACAACATAAAAACCTGCAATTCACAATAAATGAGGAAGTAAACAACCAAATAACCTACCTAGACTTAAACATAATTAACAGAAATGGACAAATAGAAGTGGAAATGTACAGAAAACCCACATCGACAGACGTAACTATAAATAATAAATCATGCCACACTAAAGAACAAAAACTAGCAGCATATAAAAACTGGATACACAGACTTCTTACACTACCACTTGAGAAAAATGCTAAAAACAAAGAATTAAACACTATCATTAATATAGCACTAAATAATGGCTATAGGAAGGAAGACATCACACACCTATATAACAAACTTAAACAAAAGATAAGTAACCCATATAACAAAGACGAAAAAGAACAACAAAAATGGGTCACTTATACAGGAAACTACATATGAAAAATCATAAAACTATTCAAAAACACTAACATAAAGATAGCCATTAAAACAACACACACAATAGATAATTTAAAAAACGAAATGCGACAAATAAACCCATACGAACAAAGTGGTATATATAAATTAACATGCCAAAGCTGCAAAAAAGTATACATCGGCCAAACTGGTAGAAATCTAACAACTAGATACAAAGAACAATAAGACTAAACAAAGACGAATCGGCATTTGCCCAACACGTACTAAATAAACACCATCAGTATGGGCCGATGACAGTAATCATGGAAATGATTGAAAAAGCCAAAAAAGGAGGCATAATGAATATAAAAGAGGATTTCCACATATATCACACTTTAATAAGTTCAATAAACTGATAGAAGAACAAAAGCATAAAAAAGAAAGTAATAGCAAACGTAATATGTTCGACCTCATAATACATCATCAGAACACGCCCACACTAATGTCACAAACACAACAAGTATAAATCATGCAACACAGCACACTCTAGAACAGTGAAAACCACACAGCAAGCCACGAACAAACCCTGGACGACATCAAGGTAGGCCGAAACAAAATCCTCAACTATATATATATATATAGTGTGACATGTTGCGAAATCCGAGCCCCCCCCCCACACCAGCAGTGACGCGGCGGGTGAGTCAGCGCTCCCCTCCCACCCCTCAGCGGTAACTGAGCTCTCGCGTAATACGCGAGTAATAACCCCGCAATGCGCAACGCGCGGTGACGTCACGAGCGGAGCCGAAGATAGCCGAGCGGAGCCGAAGATAGCCGAGCCCCGTAACCTGGCAACTACGCAATGCTAATCAACAGCGGTGACGTCAC